CCCCCCTGTATATACTACTGAGACTCCAGTAACAGTTTATTGTAGAGTTATCGTTTTCTAATCTCCTTTTGTTATAAAAGAAGGTATTGATAATCAGCGAAAGACTTACATCTATTTTTGATTGCACAATCAACACATTCGATATGGACATAGTGTAAAATTCATTCCGAATCAGTATTCTCAATTTATACATTTTCTTTTTCAAATAGAAAAATAACAGAAAAAAACAAATAAATATACAAAGAAGATGTGGCATAAGATTCTTGTATTCGCTTATTTATCCATTAATAATTGATATTTATCTTGTACGAACGTATTTGTCCGATGATTGTCAAGAATGCAACTATTATCATTTTGTCTACAACTTCTAAAGAAATTTAAAAATGAACAAAACAAAACGCATGTTTTTGTTATTTACCAATATCTTCCACGTTGTTGATTCGAATGTAGATAAGGATTATTTCGTTTATTAATAACATATGAACAATGTTGAAATCGTCGATAAAAATGTGAATTAGAACAATCGTTTGTATATGATTCATAGTAAAAATTATTAGGAATATTATTATTATTATTTACTAAATATGGCTGTTTTGGCTTGAAATGTTTTGGTAATAGAGAATAAGGAATATATGATTGAGCAATCATTTGATCAACAACATTTATTTGTCGTTGTTTATTAGAATATGTCTGATATTTATAACCACATGTACGAGATAAATCATTATACTGATTATGCGAAAAATGACTATGATTAAAATAGTATTGTATTTGCTAAAAGAAAACTCAATAGAAAAAAAGACCATTCAAATTACTCTATCTCGTACTTTATTATTATTACTAAATCGACCAATTAATATAATCGCTGAATCAAAATCAATCACATCGTTATCTTTTTGATTAAGTTCAACACGTTCTATTTGTGTTTTATTTATACATGTATCACTCTTGATTAGTAACAAATCTAGTAAATTAATTTCAAATTTTGAGACAGTTTGAATGGCTATATCCATTATTATTCAATGTTTAGATTTATAAGCAAGTAATTCTACTGAATATTTGTTAAAAAAATTAACTATGTATATTTTGTGAATCGATGAAAAATAAGAATAAACTAATAAATGAATTATTACAACACTATTTAAATCATTCTATGCTGAAGAAATATTGAGTCATTTTTCTTTTCTTTCTGTGATACGATGAATCAGTGAGCAATAATAAGAAATATTACATTTTTGTTGAGTAAGAACATTATTTCCATAATTGACAGGATATATCAAGAACAATTTTATTTTGTTTATATCTATCTCTTATTCATTTTACAAAGAATTACAGATACTTATGAAAACATAAGAGATAGCAACTATTGTTATAGTCTTATTTTCTTATGGATTATAAAAATTTACTTTAAATTCAAATTAAAACTATAGTAAAATGGTACTTACCCGTCTGATAGGAATGTAATATGAGACGAAAATATATTTGAGTGACGTTAAGCACTTCCGTACTGTTTAATCCCAAAATAACTATATATACGACAATGATAAAAAGAGCTTGATTACAATTAAAAATAATAATAAAAAACATGCATTCGATTTCTATTATTGTTATTATGGTTTCTATTTGTTATATAAACGTTAATGGTCAAGATATACAAAGTAAGTCATCATTGAATGAAATCATATTTTTTTAATCAGATATTCGTTTAATAGATTTTTGTACTGCTAATTCAAATTTATGCAATAATGGAGGAACATGTGTAATAACATCGAACAATGATTTCAGATGTCTATGTCGATCAGGTTTTACAGGAATTCGATGTGACGACATTGAGAGTGGATCCTTTGCGATTGTCAGAAAAAGTGCAAAGAATTCATTTGAAAAATTAAATAATGCCTGTCCGATTAATCCATGCTACAATGGAGGAACATGTTCAATAGTATTAGATAGTGCCTTCAAATGTGCTTGTCCTCCAAATTTTAAAGGAATGTTTTGCGAAGCAGTTAACGGTATAATTTTGATTTTTTCTTTCTGATGAAAAATTATTTTACATTATTTGAAAGATATAAATCAATGCGCCTTTGAAATTTGTGAAAATGGTGGAAGTTGTGTACCAAATTCAAGCGAAGGTGTCAAATGCATATGTACTGCTGAATGGACTGGTCCACTGTGTGACTATTCTACCGGTAACTTCTAATCTATGAATTATTGTTATGTATTGAACAATAAAATTGATAATCTTATTTAAGAATAAATGATTTTTATTTATTAATATCGATATAAAAACAATATTTATCATTTTTGATCCCAGTTAATAAAAGGTATGAGAAGTATATTTAAATGAGAATTATTTAAACATACAATAAAGCATTAAAAAATTGATTATATATTTCCAAGACATAGATATATATATATATAATAATAAGTATTACATTATTCTAGTTTCAATAGTTAATTGTGTCCATGATGTTAAATTATCTTCCCATCGATAGTAATCATGTGTTGTAGTTTGCCAATCAATAACTTTTGTAGATGATGACATTTTATTTGATTCATCTAATTTCACACCGGATGCTTTCCATGAACATTGATAAAAAGCACAAACCGTCGGTTGAATAGATATATTACATAATGGACATTCTGATGTGATTATAATTGAATTATTGATAATATTAAATTTTCCAATACCTTGATTCTTAATAACTTTGTGTTCGAAAGCTTGACATTGTGCATTTAAACAAACACCTTCAAGACATAAACCGGATGATGCTTGACGCCAAGGTGGGCTGTTAGATCCAACAGGTGGATATTGTATTATAAGAGTAATATCATCATGAATAGCACTTCGTTGTCGATTGAAAGATTCTTCATCCCATGTACGAAAAATAACATCACCAAGAGAATAATCATAATGTTCAGGATTTCCAACTTTTTTTTCGATTAAATGTCGAAAATCATCTAAACCAAAATTAGTAGGTAACGTCACTGATTTACGACGTCCTTGTGGAGTTTCAAGATAAAAACCTAGTGGCATTCTATGTCAGACAAGTATAAACTAACAGAGTAAATAGTTACTAAAAGAATATTATTGTTTTGTCAGAAAGAAAAACGTCAAACTATATCAAGAGATATGACAGATGAAAGACTTGATAACATTGTGTTTTTCTAGATAGAAAATATTAACAATATTTACAGCAATAGTGTTATACTTACTATAGAGAATAGATAGAAAAGCTTCTCTTTAGTATATAATAATAAAGATAAGAATTTGTTGTACTTTGAAGAGAGAAAAACATAGTTATTGTTTGTGTTATTTCTATTGTATTTAAGTGGAATTGATTAGTATCATTTACAAAATTATGCTTGTTGAGAAAGATTAATTTTATTGAAAAATATAATACACAGATAGGCAAACATTCTCGATTGTTTTACAAAGTTTTTTCCGTTGTTGTCTGACATGTTCGATACATTTGTTGTAGAATAATATTAAAAATCAAAAAGATAAATATCCATAATGGTAAAAATACAATCCAATATGGCATATCTTGTTTATATTCGAATTTCATACATAATAAAATTTCAAATGCACATGATGAGAATAAACTCATAATATAATAAATAATTTCTAAACATTTATCTTTCGTTCTTATCCATCTTTTAATTATAATTAAATATATAATTATACATAATGATATAAAATTAAATATCCATACTGGTATAAATATTAAAAACCATGAAATATGTAACCATGTTTGATTAATTTTAAGTGTTATTGATATAAGAAAAGTTAATAGACAAATAAATGATAGAAGTAAACGACAATTTAAACAACCATCAGTCATCTAAAGAAGAAGATTTTGCATTCTATTCTTACCTGTTCTTTTTCTTTTTGTATAAATAAAAAAATTCTTTTTTTTCTTCTTTCTGTATATGTATTTGTATGTATATCGAAAAAAAAAGAGATGACACAAAAAGAAAAACGCGAGAGAAACTTGTTTCTATATCATCTTCAACACGAAGAGAACTGAATCGAATGGCACATGGGAGAAAACCCATTGCTTTAACAATCGGGAAAAATGTCTGAAGAATAAAGAGCTAGTAAAATTGGGAAAAACGAAAAAAAAAAACAAAAGTAAACGATCGGTTAGCGAAAAAGAAAAATGAAACTGATGTGTAGAGAGAGAGAGAGAGAAAAACACACACGCACAAGCAATACAAGAGAGCGAGACAATGTGTCACACATAGTTATGAAGAGTGTATGAATAAAAAACAAACAAACAAAATCTTTAGATAATAAGAGACAAATCTATGCATTTTATTCTCAATCCAATAGAAAGATTTCTTTTTTTTTATCGTGTATAATCGCGAGTCGATTGTTGCTGATAATTAGATGATAGTGGAACTTGTTGTTGCTGTTGCATATATGGATCGATTGGATATGGTTCTAGAAGAAGTGAAGATTTATAAAAATAAATCAATAAATGAGTTTGATATTTAATTTACGTTTTGAAACGGAAGACCAATCTCCAGTACTACCAATTGGCATAGAACCAATAGTGGTTGATACAGGTATATGACGTTTACGCTCACTGCCGATTGCAGCTGGCACCATTTTATGATCGACAGTTGTAGATGATGATGATGAGGAAGAAGGACCGGTTGAATGATTACTATTGGTAATGATAACATTCGGATCAATAATCACCTGTGGTTGAATTTTTCCATTGATCGGATCGACTAATATATTAATGAAAAGAAAACAGTTTCATTTCAATTATCAATAAATATTTAGATAGCTTATATTTACCTGCAGTTAGTGGTATATCATCACTGTTTGAAGTGGTTTGTTGTGGTGTATTAATCGTCTCATAAACATTTTTATTTACATTAGACGATACTGGAATATTATTTGGTTGCTGCTGCGGCTGTTGTTGTTGTTGTTGTTGCTGTTGCGTTCGTGATATAAAATTTGTATAGTAATAAGCAGCAACAAGTGCCGCTGCTTGATTTGGATCTTGTGGTAATTGTCCTTTTGATGCTAATATATTAGCTATTTGTAATGTTGTTGGCAATTGTGGTGGTGGTACAAGTTGTTGTGGATTAGCATGTAAACGCCAAAAATGTAAAACTTGATTTTGTACATGTTGCTGCATTGCTTCCATGTCCGCTTGTTGAAGTGGACGTGGAGAAGGCATTACTTGTGGTGATACCATTGATTGTGGAGGTGGAAGCTGTGATGGTGGTGGTGGCGGCGGCGGTGGTGGATGCACTGGAACATTGTTATTGTTTGTATATAATTGCTGTTGCTGTTTTTGTTCCATCATACGAGCAATATTCATGATATTTGCAGATAATGGTCCATTTGAAATAGGCGCTTGTGGCGGCGTTGGCATAAATGGTGGTGGTGGCATGCGATTACCATGATTAAATTCTGGTGCACTTGGATTGAGATTCGATCTGCTACGTGACATATTTGCATACGCTGGATTATTAAGCATCATTGCTGGTGGTGGTTGTGTTACTTGTTGATATACTGGAGTATTATTTGCTGATAATGTTCGATTAAATTTTGTTCGCATTTGAAGAGAATTTTCATTGTATGTTCCATCATTTGATGTTGGTACTGGTGCACGATGTGATCCAATAGGTCCAAATGGTTTTTGTTGTTGTTGTTGTTGTTGTTGTTGATCTAATGAAGTAAATAATTGTTGTGGTGGAATAAATTGATTTGTTTGTTGTTTTATCGATGATGGTGATGAGGATGTTGATGATGTTGTTGATGAACCTGTTTGACCATTACGATCAAGACGTACTTTATTCATTGATGGTGATATAGATTGTTGATGTCTATTAGCACCAGGTGCACGACTTAATTGTGATGTTGGAGAAAGTGAATCATAATTTGTTGTACGAATCATTTGTTGCTGTTGTTGTTGATGATGATGTACTGGTGTTGTACCTGCACTTGCTGGACCACGATAGCCAGGTGCAATCTTTGGATCTGGTAATGGTGGTGTTGGTGATAATGGTTCATCCATTGTAATAACAATAGGTTCATGATGAGATAATTTTGTTGTTACATTCATTTTTGCAGCATTAGCAAAATTCATTTTTGTTGTTGAAAGTGAATTTGATTCATCAATAGATGTTATAGGTTCTTTAGTTTTAGTTAATACATCAACAATTGATGTTGTTAAAATATTTGAAGCAAATGGATTATATTCTCCAGTGGTTGTTACATTGGTCGGAGTAGGTGTAGCAGATGAAACAACAAGCAAGGATGCTGATGATGATGGTGGTGAGATTGTTTCTGTAGTTGGAGGTGGTGAGATTGGTATTCGATGACCTGGTTGAGATGGAAGCATAGGAACTGATGATGGCTGAATAGTTGTTGTTGTCGTCGTTTCTAATGGTGTTGTATGTTCATTTTTTTGATGATAATTTGTTGAATAATGTTTATTTGAATGTCCATAATGATTATGATTATTCGATGAATTTGTATTTGAATATGAATAATGATATGATGACGGAATATTCGATTGATTTGTCGAATAATGATTTGAATTGGATGTTTTATTATGTATTGAAGTAGGTTTAGATGATGATTGTTGATGATTCCATACTGCTGTTGAATTAGATGTTATCGACGGTATAGAATTAGTTGTTGTTGTTGCTGTTGTCGCCGTTGTTGATGATGATGTTGTACCACGATTTGATCGATTAGAATTTACCCATGTTGCACCAGTTGCTGTTAATGGTTGAGAATTCTTTATAGTAGATGATGAAGATGACGTCGAACGACCAGAACTATTCGTCGAATTTGTTATTCCTACTTTTTTACTTGATGAACGAGTACTATTTGGTGTTAATTTCGCTGGTGGAGTTGTTACATATGTATCTGATATTGATGATTCTAAAAGACAAAAAAAAAGATTTAAATTTATCAAAAACTGACAAAAAAGAAATAAATAATTTATTTACCAGTAGTTTGAGGTCTCGATCCATAATTTGTACTATTTAATCTTTGTATTTTATTTATTTCATCATTACTATCATTAGTATTAGATGTAATTGTTGTTGATCTTGGTTTTGTTTTAGTTTCATTACTTGATGGTAAGAGATTCATTAATTCTGACTCCGAATTTTTTAATAATGCCATTATTAATTGATAAGCATGTTTTATTGAATCACCATTACCTCTGTTAAATAAATTATTAAAAAAAACAAACAAAATTCAGAAAAAGAAACATACTTAATTAATATTGTTTTATCACCAATTGCTCGTTTATTTTCAACATCAATTGATGCACCAGTTACTTCTCGTAAGACATTTAAATTAGATCCACTTCGTCCAATAATACGTGAATATTGTTCATGTGGTATAGTTATTTTTTTCTGTTTACCAATAACTTCTTGCCATCCATCGTCAACCGGAGGCAGAGTTATTCCACTAGCTGTTGAAGATGTATCCTGTTGTTTATTTTTTGATGCAAGATTTTCTTGATGACGTTCAATTTTACGTGTCATTGTATTTGTTTTCTTTTTATTATTAGTATTTGTAGTTTGTTTTGATATTGTTGGTGGTTGTTGTGGTGGTGGAGGAGGCGGAGATGGTGGCGGTGGTGGTTGTTCAGGTGTAGGAGGTTTTATTATTGGTTGTTCATTATCTGTTTTAATCATTTTTAGTCGAAGATCATCATCAACAATAAGAGTTGTTGTGGTCGTTGTTGATAATGGAACAATTTCTTGTTCTATTGGTTCTTCATTTTCATGATGTTCTTCTTCAATATCATCGATGTCTTGTTGTTGTTGATCATCGATGTCTTGTTGTTGTTGATCATCATCAGTTTTTGTTGTTGATTTTTGTTTACCTTTCTTTTTTGCTTTACGTTTTTCACGTTTTTTTGCAGCAGCAACTTTTCGAGTTTCTTCACGTGATTTTTCTAAATCAATTTCTTTTAATAAACTATTTGCAGCTTTATTTGCTTCAGCTGCTTGCCGTTCTTTCGCTGATATGATTTGATCCATACATGTTTGACATTTTTTTAATAAATCCTAAAAATTACAAAACAATTTTGATAAAAGATTTGCAAAAAATAGTTAGATTTTACTTTATCAGTTATTGTACTGATTAAACGACGACAATCTGCATCTGATGGAAATTGTCGAACTTGACGAACTAAATATTTGACAACTTTATTATGTCCTTTACGAAAGGCAGCCATTAGACAAGACACTTTTCGAGAATCACTGGAATCTGGATCAGCAAAACGTGTGACAAGTAATTGTACAACTTCTAAATGACCATTATTACAAGCAAGCCATAATGGTGTGGCACCTTTTTTATTTCGTACATCAATAGTGGCACCATAAAGAAGAAGTAATTCAACAAATTTATGATGACCTTTATCAGCAGCAATAGTTAACGCTAAAACAAAATAGAATTTTTTAGAAACAAATCTCTGCTTTTTATAAAGATTTAATAGAATTTTTAAATTTCTTTCATTCTTTTTCCTTCTTAGTTTCATTCAATTAATTTGTTTATTATATACCAGTATCTTTCGATGTTGGGACAGGTGGTGCATTAACATCAGCTCCACGTTCTAATAAAACTCGTCCAACATCAACATAACCACCCGATGCTACAAAAAGAAAACATCAAATCAATATTTTTTTCTTCTATTACAAATCAAGAAATTTTTCTTACCAGATTCCATCAAAGGTGTTAAACCTGTTTTTGCTCTATGTTCAATATTTGCTTTACGATCAACTAATAATGAAACAACTTCAGCTCGTCCTTGAAAACAAGCTAATGTTAATGCTGTATTGCGATTTGTTTCTATTTGAGCATTTATATCAGAACCCATATCTAATAGAAGTTTAACAGCCGCTACATGTCCATTCATTGAAGCAAGCATCAATGGCTAAAATTAAAAACATAAGTCTTTCTTTAAATTATTTAATGAATACGTACAGTTATTCCTAATTTGCTACCAGTCCTTTAAGAAGAAGAAAAAAAACAATAACAAATTTAATAATACAAAAAGAATAACCTTGAATTAATCTCTGCACCATAATTTAATAATAATCGAATAATATTCACATAACCACCAGAAGCAGCAAGACTCAAAGCTATGTAAATCAAATCAGTTTTCATTTCAAATATTCATTAAAACGTTTTTTTACCAGTATAATCAGAAACATTTCTATGTTCACGATTAGCTCCTTTTTTCAATAGAACTTCTACAACTTCTTGTCTTCCACCACTGCATGCCAAAGATAATGCAGTATCTTTTGTTCTTTCGGATTGAGCTTCAATAATAGCACCATTTTCAAGTAATCTTGCAACAATATTAGCATGACCAGCAGTTGCTAAATGAAAAAAAAATGATTTGATTTGTAAATGAATTTTTTAAAGATAAAATTATACCTGCAAGTATTAATGGTGTAAAACCTTTTTTATCACGATGTTCAATATTGGCACCACGTTGTAAAAGTAATGAAACAAGTTCTTCATGACCACCAGCACAAGATAATGTTAATGCTGTATCATGATTAGATTCTGTTTCACAATCAACATCTATTCGATTTTGAAAACGTAAATGAGATAATGCTGTATTTTGTATATTTGTTGGATGTGATGGACATTCTGTACAGCATATTGAATGTTGAGTATGTGTTAGATTAGTAAGAGACGGAGGTAGCGGAGGAAGATCGTTTACTAATGAAGTCTGATGATTATCTTCTATGATTGAATTTTGAGTCGTAGATACATGTTGTTGTGGAAAAGAAATTTGAGTGGAAGGTGTCACTGTTTTTACTGTTGAATCAGATTGAGAATGAACAATTGGTTCAGTATGTATCAGTGCTGAAAATACAAACAATTTATTAGCTTTTTAGAAAAAGAACATGCTATAGATCGAGATTTTATTAGTTTTATAGAAATATCCAAAAGTAAATTTTTCTCTTACTCTGTTCATGATTTTCATTATTAGATTTATTATTATCTATTGGTAATGATTCATTTGTTGTTTGTTGTAAATTTGCTGGTGCAAATGGTGGTAATGTTTTTAATTGATCAATAAATGATTGATTAGCAATTTTTTTAATTTCATGTATTAAATTTGGATTATTTGCTAATGTTTGTATACGTTCAAGTTCAGATGGATTATTAGCTAATTCACGTAAATGTTCAAGTGCTTTTTGTGTATCAGTATTAATATGCATAGGAGTTTTTGTTGGACTTGATATTGTTAAACATTCTGTTGATGAAGAAGATGATGGTGGTGGTGGAGAAAGTAATTTAAGATTTTTTAAATGTAAATTCATTTCATCTAAATGTGTTTGATTATCATGTAGATGTTGTTCTAATCGACGATCAAATTTAGTTAATTGTCGATTAAAAGATTTTTTTATTTTCGGATGATGTTGATTATGATGTAATGGTGGAATATTTGATTTATTTGATATACGAAGATTATTTGATGAGGATTGATTAATTTCACTTGTTGACGCTGAAAAGAAATTAATTGTTTGGGGTGGAAGTGATAAAGTTAAGTTTGTTGTCGGTTGTTCATCATGTTTAGCTGTGGAAGATGATGATGAAGTAGCAGATGATGAACTTGATGTTGATGATGAAGATGTTGTTCGTTTCTTTTTACCAGTTGTTGTCGTTGAAGAAGAAGAAGGAGGTGGCGGTGGTGGTTGTACAGGATTCGAATTCACATATTCATTAACTTGTTGTCGATATTCTTGATTGATTTTTAAATGTTGTTGAGCTTTATCATGAAGTTCTTTTTCAACATGTTGAAGTTGTTCTAAATAGATAATACAGATCAATATACTTTACAGATACTATTGAGTATTAATCTTGTCTATCAATTCAGTTCAGAGGAGAAAAAAAATCTGACCTTATAAACATATAAATTATGAAATAGAACATTCATTTTAATCATAGATTAATTATTACCGAGTATCTGAAGTTTTTTTGCTTGTTGAGTATTATTAATCTCAGAATTTTGATTTAGTATTAATGATTGTTGAAATGTTTCATCAGTTAAAATAGGTGATGATGGTCGATCATTATTTGTCCATGAATATGTTGTATTATCTAAAGAAAATGTTTTTTTTTGTATATTATTATTAATTATATTATTGAAAAAACCTTTTATATCGTTATCAGAATGTAGTTTTGTTGACTCATTAACACCAGTTTGAAGAACATCGAGAATATTTCTTGGAACTATTTTTTGGAGACTTTTAAGTAATTGAATTGGAGAATTCGTTGTTTGTGCAGATCTTTTATTATCTCCTATTAAAATTCAATTGAATTTTTTCGAATAAAACAAAAACAAACAAACAAACCTGATTCTTCTTCTCCTCCTCTTTCATCATTTACTAATGGTTCAACTGAATTTATTGGAGCTACACGTTGTGTTACACTTTTTGGATATTCAAGTAATAATTTTACTATTTCTATATGACCACCTTTAGCTGCTTCAATTAAACAATTAGATCGATCCTTAGAAGAACAAAAAAATTAAATTTTTCGTTAATCTTGTTTTCAAAAAAGATATTTACTTTAAGAAGATGATTTGGATCCGAACCATGTTTAAGTAATAATGAAGCTACTTCAAGATGACCACCGGCACATGCTAACGAAAGAACAGTTGAATCATTACTATTTGTTGATCGATTAACATCCGCTCCTTAATATATAGAAAATTAAAAAAATCTCTATTATTTATTTATTGATTTAATTCTAACCTTTTGAAATTAAATATCGTATTGTACATGTATGTCCAGCTCGAGATGCTTTCATTAATGGTGTTCGACCTTCATTTTCAGTTTGATCAATATGTGCACCAGAATTAAGTAAAATTTCAGCAACTTCAGTATGACCACTTTCACATGCATAAGCCAAAGCTATATATTTATTATAAACTTTCAATAAAAAAACAAAACAAAACAAAATAAAAAAACTACCAGTCTCTCCAGCTGGTGTTGTTTGATTAACATCAGCATTATTTTGTATTAAATATTGAACTAATTCTACATGACCCTCTTGTGATGCTTCCATAAGAGGAGTTGATTGACCTAAATTAACATTAGCTCCATTGGATATAAGAATTTTTGCTACATCTAAAAATCCACCAGCACATGCTAATGTTACTAAATAAAAAGAAATATTTATTTAGAAAAAAAAGAAATCAATTCGTTTAAATATATACTTACATGCAGTCTCTTGTGTATCCTCAGTTGTTCGATTGACATCAGCACCTGAATATAACAGAGATTATGTATAAATAATCTATCTATTTATATTACCTTGAGATACAAGTAAATTTACAAGATCGTCATGTCCCTCTCGACTAGCTGAAATAAATTCTTATTTTTATTTTTATTCAATTGAAAAAATATTAACAAACCTTCCATTAATGGTGTATATCCTTCATCATTAACTTCTTCTAGATTAGCACCTCGTTCAATAAGTAACGATGCTAATTCGATATGACCACCACATGCACTTAATGTTAGTGGACTTTCATAACTATCTGGTGGCATATTTACATCAGCGCCATGATCAAGTAATAATTTTGCTACTTGAACATGACCATCCATACATGCTTCCATTAAAGCTATATAAGAAATATTATAATTATGAATTTCTTGTTTTGTAAAAAAAAACTAGTCGAACTTTGTTTAGATTACTATTAGTAGATGATAGCTATCATGTCAAAAATCTCGATTAGAATCATATGGTATGTATTAATAGAGTGGACGTGACTATTGAAAAAAATTCTATTACTTTTCTTATTAAACATGGACAAGTTCTAGAAATTTTCTCAATTCAATATAGAAAAAGAAGAGAATATTTTATTTTGATTACAAATATTTTTTTACTAATTAATTCGAGTCATTTCAGCTGTTTTCAATAACTTTATGAAATTTTTTTCATAATTGAAATATTTACCTGTATGCATTTCATCTGTTTTATGTTGTTTACTATCATTTCCATTTTCTATAAGAATAAAAAAAACAATTTTTCTCATTTATTTTCTATTAGTAATTATTAATCATTTTTACTGTCTTTCGAATCATTCGAATGTGTATTAACACCAGCACCATGATCAAGTAATGCTCGAGCAACTTCTACATGACCACCACTGGCAGCTTCCATCTAAAAACAAAGGAAAATAAATATATTTGAAAAATCTTTTTCTTTATATCTACAAGAGGAGTATGTCCATTTTCATTTGTTTCTTCTACTTTAGCACCATTTTCAAGTAGAAGTCGAACAATATCTGCATAACCCTTTGAGTAGAAGACAAAAAAATAAATCAATATTATTTCATATACAAATTTCTTACTCCTCCTGCTGAATAATGCAGTGCAGTATTTCCAGATGTTGATTGCATATTTACATTTGCATTATGTTTCAATAAAAGTTCAACGATTTCATAATGACCAGCATTACATGCTAAAGAATATATATTTAATTTCATAAAAAGCAAAAATTATATATTTGTCTTTCAAACCTTCCATTAATGGTGTACAATCTTGTTTAGTTCCTCTATCATCAATATCAATATTAGGTATAGTTGTGAGTAATAATCGTACAAGATCCGTATAACCATTTGAACAAGCAAGAGCTAAAACACTATCACCATCTTCATTAACATCATTTAAATGTTCGTTTCCATTTGTTGATTGAAGAATTTTTTCAACAGTTCGAATATCATTATTTACACAAGCACGAACAAATGTTCCTGATCTAAAATCATAAAATGTTTTTTCATGTTGTTTTTTTCTTTTTTCAATAAGAAAATTTTTGCATACGTGTCTTTATTTATTGATTTAGATTTTTTATCTTGATGTCCACTGAGATTTGTATTTGACGGTGAGATAGCATTAGCAATTTCATGTAAACCATTTAAATTATTTGTTACACTACTTGTTAATAAACGTACAACTTGTTGATCACGCCAAAAATCTTCAGGAATAGGAGAATTTGTTATACCAGTTGCTTCAAGTATGGCAGCTAATTTAGCTTGAGTATCAGGATCAATTAAACCAAGATCCATATCATCATTATTATTATTATTAGTATTATTTAATAATGTATTACGAGAATGTGTAGGAAATGGTTCATCATCATCATCATCATCTTCGTCATCATCATCGTCTTCATCACTGGTTTCTACCTAGAAAACAACAATAATAATTTTTATTTATTTATTTTGTTTTTTGAATAATTATTTTATTCTTATTACAAGTTCATTATCATCATCATCGTCAGTTAACATTCCGTGATCGTGATGTTGATAACGTGTAAGACCAACAGATAGAATTGAAACGTCAGTTAAATCGAGTGATGTATCTTGATCTGTATTACGTATTAATGATGTTCGCAATGATTGATCAGTTATTGATGTTGTTGTTGTTGTTGTTGTTCGAGATATATTGCCTTTTACAGGCAAAGAACCATTGTTCATGCTAGAATATTGAATAAATATATAGTAAAGTTTTATTTATTTATAAAAAGAAAAATTTTCTTGAGAAGAAAATAGTAAATAACAACTCAAATAATAGTCAATATAGGAAGGTCAGAGGTTCGTTCAGTCACTCTGACGCCGATCGTTTGGCCGGCCCCATAACGAGAGAGACAGAGACAGAGACAGAGGAATGGTATAGAAGATAGAACGAGACGAAGACAGAGAGAGAGAGATGAGATACATACACAAACAGAAGGAACGAAACGAAGGAAGGAGGGCAGGCAGAGTAGGGCACCGCTACCAATACTATACGACTATATGATATAACGTGGATTGAGAGATGCCTTTTTTTCAACCATTGACATATTCTTTAATCAATGTGGTTAACCAAACAAATTAAGTTTTTATGATTTGAAACAAATCACATTTGATTTAATGATCTTACCAACAGTTTATTTTCTTTTATATACATTTGAAAATATTTAGATAGATGCCGCCCATTGCCGATAAATGTCAGAGGACTCTAATATGTTTGACATAGATTGTATATTAATAGTTCCGTTCTAATTACTAATCGTATAATGTGCTTTCTATCTGTGAATGTTGTTACATTTACATAAGCAGAAACGAAAAGCCAGATTTAATATTCAATCTTCTCACTTTCCTTGTGTATGGTAGATTTTTTCTAACATATTGAAATAAACCCCCCCCCCCCCCCCCCCATAATAAAAGACCCTCTCGTATTAAAAGACCCCCCCATAATAGAAGACCCCTTTGGAGCAAAAATCGAAAAAAGCGCGATGTGCGAAACATAATAGAAGACCAGGGGGTCTTTTATTATGGGGGGGGGGGTTTAGTTAATTCTCGTTCATCGATGCAGTAAGCACATTCTAAAAATCTTTACAAAATACATACAACGTTACTAATCACCAAGAAATTCTCTTATCACCAACACTTGAAATCAGTCTGTACAGTTTTAACAATCATGTTTTCTATATGTCCTCCTGGATAAAAATAGTTTTACATAGTATTTTCCACATATCATTACTATAAATTAACATTTTTGGAAAAGTAGGAATATATTCGGATAGCCCGTAGAAATCTCTACAAAGCTCTATATGAACGTTCTAAATTACACTCGGTCACTGAAAATAAGTTTAAACACATTAAAGCTACTCTCATCATCAGATTCCTCAAAAATGCATTTTTTCTCTTCATTTTTTAGAGATTTTCTTTTTTCGTTTTTATTATTTTTATATTGAAGCGAATCGTTACAAAAGTAAATACATAATCTGAAAGTGCATGAAAAACTCTATCTCCCTGTACTTTTATATTAAAAATAAATTTGAAAAAACATGAAGAGCAAAAAATGCATTTTCGCGGAATCTGATGATGAGAGAGTACCTTTAATGTGTTTAAGTTTATTTTCAGTGAACAAGTGTAATTTAGAACGTTCATATTGAGATTTGTAGAGAATTCTTCGGGCAATCCGAATATATCCTTACCTTTCCAAAAATTTATTTATTTTGCAAGTATGCCTCTTTTGACAGTCTGCAGGTATTTAATTTAATCTTATCTTTACAAAATCAATTTCAAACGCATGACTAAATAAAACCTATAATCAATTTTTATTGTCTCTTGTGCAGTATCTATGCTCAAACAAAATATCTAACCATATAAATATATGTTTGCACAAGAACAATGAAGATTATATCATGGTTGCCAACTGTAAATTCGTATAACGACCAACACAAAAAAAAGAGAGAAGAAAGAAATTCAACGTACATTTGTCTCCTTTCATTCTTTTAATCAGGTTGAAAATGAAAAGAATATATCTAAACCATCGAGACAGTCATATGTAAATTTCGCAAGATAGTATATAAGCGATTATTACAAATAAAATTCATTTATTGATATTATTTTGTCAAAAAAAAAATGAATGACGATATAAATATATTCGATGTGGAATTGATTAATAAACATACCAATGAATTCAATATATTATACCGGAAATTAACGTCAACTGATGTCGATCAAGCATTGCACACATTAAAAACAAATCAAACATCATCTCAACAACAAACAATTTTTTCAAATAATGAATTTTTAACTATATTAAATGAACAAGGTAATCACATAGTGAATTATAAATAATCAACAAGAAGAGTAACGCTGGGACATAAATCAGTAAGAGAAAAAAAAGTTCATCGAAAGTAAATTATATAACGCAATGAAACTATTATCGATTTATGAGCGACTACTGTAACGAATTGATGTTTATTTCCTTATTAGCCTTAATATAAAAATAATTCTATTATAAAATTGTACTCCTGTTCTTAGTTTGTGTACCCTAAATTCTATTATTATATGCAATTAATATGTTTAGAATCCATGATTGAGTTTAGGCTAAGAACTGAAATCTTAGAATTACAAGGAATATTTCCTTATTCTCTATATTGATACCTATGAAATTTTGCTACTGGATGTGACAAAGACTTTCTTTTTTCTATCTATCATACATAGTGAAAGAACAGAATTTTCTTCTTGTAAATAAATACTGAGTATAGAAAAATCTGTTACAGAATTAACGATAATATTCTATTAGATAAAAAAATATCTACCTGTTCGTGATTAGTTGTTATGAATGTGTCAGTATTGTTGATTTATTATCATCGTCAAGGTTCATGCTATTGACAGAAATTCAAACATTTTTATCGTAAAACTTAGATTTTATAATTTGAAGTTTTAATTATGTTTTCAAGGTTGTCAAACATTTTATTCGTATAGAATTTGAACGCATTTGAAAAATCGCCTTTGTACTTCCCTTTCGTAATCGATCATCATGAATTTCTAAGAACAAAACTCGAAACTCAGTCCATTATCAATAAATTCATTTCTTTTTTGATATACGAATATATTATCTTAAAATATTCAATGAAACATTTTGTTTAATTTAGAATGTAGCTGTTGTCGTCTTCTTCGAACGAATATACCAAATCGTTCTTCATTGCCATTAGCTCGTCGTGGTCGTCCACATTTTTCAACTCGACCTCATCATTTACTATGTTCAAATTGTACAGAAATTAAACGTCAACAACAAATTGATATTTTACAAAATCAACAACAACAACATCGTCCGAATCATATTAGTCAAATAACAATTAATTTAAATATATCGCCTGAAGAACAAAATGCTTTAAATAATCATCCATATGAAACAGATCAAATACTTAATATAAAAGTTAATACTTCGAATGGAAATACTATTGATGTTTCATATGATACGAATTCATTAAATGAACATGAAAAGAAATTGTTAGTTGAACAAACTATTAATAAACTTCAAATGATTCTTAATAATCGAACAACAACAATGACAGATATTAATCATGAATCTATCGAATTTACTTATCGTACATTAGAAACAACAATTAATATTCTTTCGTCATCGTCACACAATTTAATTTAAATTTATTTAAAATAAGATACTAAAAACAATAAAAGAACTAATCGTTATTAGATTAGATTGCACAATTGATTATTTTTAATAACAATAATGATATTAGAAGATATTTATATGATGATTGATATTGTGTTTGACCTGTATCAAATGCTGTTTGAAGTAAATAAGCAGATGATGAACCTTGTTGACGTGGTAAACGATGTAATTCTTCTTCTAAAATAAAATAAAAGATCGATATGTTAAATTTTAATAGTTTAAAGATAATTATGAATTGCTATCTGATCAAAGAGTAGAGATCAAAATGATTTTCGTTAATAATTTCCTATATATAAAACGTAAGAAATGGTATTTTCAACTGAATAAATTTAATTAGTGAAATGAGATCTTGCGGGAAACTTTCGAATCGGCAGATGTGCCGATTTTAGCCTGAGTTTAATAGCTATCTCAGAGACATGTCATGATATCAGATTGATTATTCAGGCAATCTTTTCTTATCCAATTTGCAGCATACTCTGAAATTAAAATGTCCCTGAGCTTAGATCGACTTTTAATGAGTGAATCAAGATATAAGAAAGTATTGTTATGATTTACATGTAATGCACGGTACAATCACAATGAAAAGATTTCTTTGATAGATCTGTCAGATTATTATAGTACGAACTAATCCACTTAACTGCTAAAGCCTTTAGTAGAAGGATTGGCACAACCTTGGAAATGTTCCGGCTATTTTATTGATTTTTCACTCAAATAGAAATATTTCTGGCAAACTGAAATAAGAAGGGCGAGTCTTTATTAAAATATTCATTTCCTAAAAAAAAAAGAATGACTACTTATCGTAGAAGGTTACTCTTTAGTTCATAATTTTTTAATAATGAAAAGATCTACATTCTTTATTTTAACTTTTAGAAATAATTTCATAGAAAATACATACTCGTTCGTCGTCTAACTAAAACCGATGATTCCTTTCCATTATATCTACATGTATAATTCGCTTGATTAAAATGATGATTTTTCTTATGTAAAAATACTGTTAAACGTTGTGTATTAAATGAAATTGTTTCAATTAAAAATTCATGTCTATCTTCATTTAATGGTTGTCCATTAACAAGCCAAATTAAATTATTAAAGTCAATAGATGAATCACATAAAAGTGAACATGTTATTGAAAATGTTCGATTGACTGGATAAAGAAGTATTGGTGATGGTAGAGAGAGATATGGATGAGCTATTTTACAAAAAAATTATCTTTTTTCTCAATTCCTCTTAAATAAAAACATACAATTAACAATAAGTTTAATACTATGTTGACCAGTTGAACTTGATTTACATTTATAATAACCTTGATCTTCGATTAAAACATTATTTATTAATAAACGAGAAAGTGATGATGATATAAGATTAAAACGACTTATGGATGCATATTCTGGTAGAAGAATATCACCAATAGCAATAAATGATAAACGATTATGAGATGAATTTGGACGAAACCATGAAATCTAAAATTCAATGAATAATCTTTCTTGGGAAATAAATAAAA